GGTGCGGGTCTCTTCCTGGTCCGGGGGCCCTGGCCGACTGCGGCGGCTTTCCACTCACACGTGGTTCTTCTCAGGATAAAAGACCTGGAGGACGAGCTCCAGTCGGTGCAGCTCACCCGGAACACGGAGCAGGAGACCTTCCAGAGGAAGTGAGTGTCTGGCCCCTGTCAATGGCGTGGGCGACCTGGGCCTGCAGTGCAGACGCCTGTGAGCGCCGGTGCGGCCAGGGGAGGTGGAGAAACCCTGTTCCCCTCGCTGTGTTTTCAAGTTTGCATCCCGAACCTCTTAAATTATGAACTGAAACAGTTGAGAATGAATGTCATTTCCAGCATCTTACAATACTGTCATTAGGAGCTAAAGCTGCTCTTTAACACCCACCTAGATGCCATAGCAGCGTCACACCCACTTCCATTCAGTTCAAAGTGCAGCCCGGCCGGCATGGCTCAGTGGTGGAGCCTCGACCCAGAAACCAGGAGGTCAGGGTTCGATTCCCGGTCAGGGCACAGGCCTGGGTTGGGGGCTCCACCCCCAGTAGGGGGTGTGCAGGAGGCAGCCGGTCCATGGTTCTCTCTTGTCACTGATGTTTCTTTCTCTTCCTGTGTGAAATCACTAATACATCGATCAGCTGCCTCCTGCACACCCCCTACTGGGGATGTGCCCGCAACCAAGGTACATGCCCTTGACCGGAATCGAACCTGGGACCCTTCAGTCCGCAGGCTGACGCTCTATCCACTGAGCCACACCGGTCAGGGCGAGCACATATATTTTTAAAGTGTGGAGCCACACTTGGGCTGTGGAAGCTTCACTGCCCTTTCTCTCCTCGGCTCCTGTTCCTGCTCCTCCCCAAGCAGTGTTATCCGAGTAGAATGGCGCCTCCTGCGGGCAGCATGCATGTGCACGAAGACCAACATAGACTTCATGAGGTCGCAGGCTCTGTTCCTCAGTGAAGGTGTCACGTTCACAAACAACATCACGGCCTGTGAAGCTCAATAACTGCTCAGTAAGCTGCCGTGTCCTTGGGCTGCCTCTTCTACCAAAACGAGACCCCCGGGCTCCCAGGGCTGTGTGGGGCCGGCTGCCGCGGCCCACACCCTCCAGCTGGGAGCTGCTGGCTCTGGCAGCATCTCACGTGCCGACCTCCTTCCAGTTACGTGCCAAGTAGGTTCGACTGTGCGCCAGAGAACAGGCGGTGCCGCAGGTACGGGGTCTGCACGCCGTGGGCAGCGTTCACCTCACAGTTTCCGGAAGTTGGATACGAGGCTCACAAAGACACGTGACTGGGACGAGGGCCTGATGGCTCCTGCTGAGGGGCCTGTGGAACCCGCGGGCCTGCCAGTCTGCCCTCCTGCCCCAAGTGCTCCCGGCCCGCCCCTGCGCGCCACTTCCCGGGCCTCAGACGCAGACGGGGCTTCAGTTCAGGGAAGATGCTCGCGCACACGCTCAGCGCTGTGAGCCAGGCCGCTGAGCGGCCCCTCCCCCATAGCTGTCTGTGGGGTGTCCTCAGAACACGGGAGGCGAGTACAGCGCAGAGGGGGACAGTGAAGGCTGGCCTGTGAGCCCGCTGTGAGAGCAGGGGCACCACGGGCTTCCGCTCAGGACACCGCACTCGTCTTCCAGGCACGAGGAGCTCGACCGGGTGGCCAGGGGAGGGGACGCGGTGCTGGCCT